GATATGGCAGTGAATTTACTGGGTACAGAGGAATAACGCCTGACTCTTTTTTTTTTAATGGGTGATAATGGAATAGTAACCCCGCCTGCGCTAACGGTATACGCTGATGGGCCACCAGTGAGGGAAGATAGGTGAGAATGCAGCAGGTCTGTTAGCCCATCGCCAAGAATTGTTCACGATGGTTTCCAGAGGAATCCACGTAGAGGTCAACCTGATAGGCTGTATTGTTAGCAATGGGTCAGTTAGATCCTATTACTAACTTCCCCCCCTCCTCTCCACTCCCACGTTGTCGATATTATCAATGCCCAATATAGACTACTTTTATGCCGGTCACATGGACGAAGTCACTGGTAAAAGCGAGTAATGAGTATACTTGAATTTCATCACCATCTGCCCGATGGAGTCAACGACCAGCACCGTATTGGCGGCAAAAAGCGACCGCCATTTTTATTGACACAACCAAACCTCGACACGCGGTTTGATCGTTGGGCCACGAGGTTAGCGTATTGTAAGGTGACGTTTATTTATCTAAACTTTATTGAATAATAAAATGGTGACCTTGATGCTGTACAGCGTTCTCTCACAGTGAACGTCTATGCTATTAATATCTGTTATTTACTAGTTTTTACCCGCGACTTCGTCTGCGTGACCGAGATATCTTCACGCACGGATAAATAGTAGCGTTGCTTGTTTCTTTTACAGTACGTATATACAAAATTTTGTAGTGATGTGTTAAGTCGTTAAGGCACTAAGATTATAGCAGATATACAAACAAACAAACTCGTTTTCATATTTATAATATTACTGAGGATTCTTTATTTATTTTTGAGATCCATTATGTATTTGTTTTTATTTCATCTATTACATACGATAATTAAAGATTGTGTCCTACAAATGAACCGACTTCATTTAGATGTAACGGAATTCCGTTAATTTTTTTTTTATACAAATTAGACTGGCAAACAAGCTAACGGTCCACCTGATGGAAAGTGGTAACCGTCGCCTATAGATATGAGCAGTACCATGGACATAACAGAGTATACTGTTTTGCCCATGATACCCCCATGCGTTGCCATTCCTGAGGACTCAGGTGTTATTCCTCTGTATTCTGAAATGTACTTCTAAATAAAGTTAATTATGAGGTATAACAAACATAAAAAATCTATCTAGTAGAGAATAAACTACCTATAAAAAAAGAAGTTCTTTTTGAAGACGGGGTTGAAAACTGGATGTTTCCTTTTTATAATGTTAGCTTAGACTGTATACATTTTACGAATATATATATATTCGTAAAATGTATACAGTATACTATATATACTATATAGTATGTAGTATGTATACTATATAGTATAAACGGTTTTATGTAGAGTGAAATGGGATTTATCAGCGTCGTAATAGTTTGGTAATATATTTACTTTATCATTTAATCTTTTACCGTTGACCAAAAAAGTATGGTACAAAAGTAGGACTTAATGCTATAGGCATTCCCTACCTGTCAACCTCTAAAATGTGCAGAGATACTCTCGATGGTGGTTTAAAAAATAAAATGTATTATTCCATCTATTACCAATGATAAGAATCATTTAAATCGAGGTTCTAAGCTTGTTGGCTAAGTTGCATGGCTGACATCAATATGTAAGTTTCCAGAAAAGTATTAATTAAAACGGTTCCTGTTCGTCGCTCGCCTTTTTCATTCTATAGTAATGGTTGATAACATCGGACCCAACTGACCGTGTAAAGTGTTGGCACAAATGTATTCAATAAAGAAATGGCTGTAATTAATTCATATTTATGGTACTCGCATGTGGTTGCCTGAAAAAGTTTTCTGCATAATGAATGGGATCTGTTAAGATTAATTTGCAATGGAGAAAATAATATACGTAATGTACGTGAAGATGCTATGTAGACATATAAGGAAATTTTAAATTTAAATCGCAAAATCATATATCTACGAGTAGGGTTTGTCCAGTTTTTTAAATAAATGCATTCAGAATCTCGGCCCGTTGTAAGGTGCTTGAAATGAAATCGTTTTAAATAACGTTAAAATTGAGAAGTTTTATAGAAGTTCTAGCCAAAGTATTATCTGCGCCTAAACGAGTTTTTTGATCAAACAACTTGAAGCTAATAATAAGAAATGATTGAAGAACGATCAACAAATTGGAATACGCTTCGAATTTAGACGATACTTCGCTCGAAGGACTTTGTAATCGATGCCATTCAAGGATGATAATTGGGAAATGGTTTTAATAACTAGGTCGCAACGCTACGATAACTTTGCGGTTTTTGCTATGGAAACTTTGTTCCCGAATACTACTATATAGATAATATATAACTACATATAGGTATTGGATATGTTTTCTTTTATTTTTTGACATGTGATGGTACAACAAAAGCCTGCAGAAACAAAATACTGTGTATAGTCCATGAACAGGATTCATCAGTTAGTTAGATGAACTTAACTTACAGCTTGACCACGCAATATCGGCTATGTCAATATAGCAAAAAGGGAACAGGTTTTAAGCCTTAATGCTTTAGTGACAATTAAAGCACTTGACAATTGTCTTGGATTGTTTGTCTTTTTACTCCTATAGAACTTGGAAAGGCTAACAAGCAGATGACTTATGTAATTGGACATTGGTATGCCCATGATACCTTTCTTGCGGTAATGCTTTCTTCAAATTCACTAGCATATCTATGGGAGATACCTATGCAGACGGTACATCTGTCACGGCTGTCTACCATTGGAGTAAGCAGAAATAATGGAACGCCAAATGCTTCGATTCAAACAAGCCTCTTTCGCTTTCTCAAAATTCATCAATCTTTTCATGCATGCTCGCCGGTTACAGGTAATAGCAATTAATAAATATATTTAAAAAAAAGAAAGTTTATAAATATATTTGTATGGTTTTTACTCAATCACGCTTAAACGGCTGAACGGATTGGAATAAAATTTGGTATATAGATAGGTTATATCGTAATTCAACACATAGGATACATTATACACTGATTCATGCGGGTATCAGCTAGTAAATAGTAAGTGTCACACGTACTTACTAAGATAACGTGTTATTAGTAGCCAGGCAACAAACACTTGGGTATGCAACCTATCACTGATGATCAAAATCCTCTCCCTTGGGGGAAAGGGATTGTTTGTAATGGGATCTAACAGCCCCATTGCTAGCGATATACTCTAACAGTTCTACCTCCACGAGATTCCCCCTGGAAACTATTTTGGTTAATTCTTAGTAAATTTGTCACGATGGGTCATCTGACCTGCTGCTTTTATTCTCAACTGTCATCCCTCACTGGTGCCCCGCCAGCATATAAATAAAGCAGGAAGGGTAACCATTCCATTATCATCTATTTAAAAAAAAATCAAATCCGCTCACCGCTTACTCTTGATGACACGCTGACTTAGTGGCCACACCGAAGTCGCAAAAAACCGCTCACTCGAAAACTTTTTATTAAACTTCCAACGCAATTCTGTAAAAAAGCCAGTGTACACGAGTCGAAGTCGTATATTGTAGGGTTCCGTGAACTTCCTGTATTTAACTTCCGTTAAAACTCCAAAATTTATCAAACGTACTCACTTTTCAACCGACTTCAAAAAGGAGGACCTCCATTCCTGAGGACTCTGGTGTTATTCCTCTGTACCCTGTAAATTTACTGTCATATCCCACCCTTTAAACCGAAACACAGCCATGCAAACACAACTGCTTTACGGATGAAACACGAATGGGACAGTGGTACCCCTGAGGTTGAAGGGTGAGATATGCTGTGAATTTACAGGGTACAGAGGAATAACTTTTGAGTCCTCAGGAATGGCAACGCATGGAGGGTATCGTGGGCGAAACAGTATACTCTGTTATGTCCACGGTACTGCTCATGTCTATGGGCGACGGTTACCACTTTCCATCAGGTGGGCCGTCAGCTTGTTTGCCATTCTAAGTTGTATAAAAAAAAAAAAAGAAACTAATCTATTATATTTATAACATGACATTTATAACATCAGTAAGGGTACACCAATAGTCCCCCAATTTAATTAATTTCTAAACACCTTGAACTTTGCTCTTTTGATTTGAGGCATACAACTTTTTAAATTGGCCAAAAACCGGTTTGCTTACTAGTTCAGTTGATTCGTTGTAAAAAATCGGCTGCGGCTGCTACTTCACGACGTCGGTTTTTTTTTAATTGATTATAATGAAATGGTAACACCCGCCTGCGCTCTCGGTGTACACTGGCGGGGCACCAGTGAGGGATGATAGGTGAGGATGAAAAGGCAGGTCAATTTGGTTTTAATGGGGTGATATTGGAGTGGTAATCTTGCTTGTGCTATCGGTGTATGCTGGCGGGGCACCAGTGAAAGATGATAGGTTAGGATGAAAGCAGGTCAGTTGGCCAGGTTGGTTTCCAGGGGAACCGCGTGGACGTTGATATTTATATTTACTATTTCAATACGATTGTTAGTAATGGGGAGGTTAGTCCTCGTCGCTATCAATGTACCCTATCAGGTCGACTTCCACGCGGTTACCTTTAGAAACTATCGTCACTAATTTAACGTTGAATTCATGATAGGCTAACAGACCTGCCTTTTCATCCTCACCTATCATCTTTTACTGATGCTCCGCCGGTGTGTACCGGCAGCGCAGGCGGGGTTGCCATGTCATTTTCACCCATTAAAAAAAATACGGGGGCCTCTCGCGCTTGATTAAAACATAAATACTAAGTAAGTAATACTAAATTACAAGGAAACTCATAAAACCAATCACTGGGAAATACAGCGTCCTTATATATGACTTGTACTAGGTAAATTGTGCACATACAATGTCATCTTACTATATTATTTAATTTTATGCTGTACATCATCATCATCGTCATTGCCTAACATAGGCCCCCCTCTTGGAGGGTTTTGTCAGTAGTTGCCACGCTGTCTATGAATATAACCTATCTTTATACTAAAATCTGACGTAAACTTAACAATGGTCTGTTTCTTCCAACAGTTACGTGGAAGCAGCACGGGTGCTCCTCCCCCGCCGGCACCAGCGGTTCTCGAGGAGAAGAGGTCACCATTACAGCCACAGCAGCAGGGCAGGGCGCAGCCACCTACAGGTAAATAGATGTAATATAAGCATACAGCCGTGATTTTACTGCTGTTAAATTTTTTTTTTTATTCAATTTAAAATGGCAAACAAGCTGACGGCCCACCTGATGGTAACTGGTAACCGTCGCTTATAGATAAATGCAATGTGACGCCCATGGTACCCCCTCATGTGTTACCATTCTAGAGACTACAGTGTTTTACTTTATGGGTAGTAATGGAATGGTAACTACGCCTGCGCTAATCAACGTCTTCTACGTTGGCAGTGCACCAGTGAAGAGATGATAGGTGAAGATGAAAACAGGTCAGTTGCTCCATCCTGATGAAGAATTAACCATGATGGTTTCCGGGGGGAACCGCGGGAAGGACCTGATCGGGTATATTTCTAGCAATGTGGCAGTTTGATCCCATTTTTTTTAATGTTTTTTTTTTACTATATTTCTCTATTATAATATGACGTTTGTCAACAGAGCCGGTCGTCACGCCTCCAGCACCAAAGCCGACGATTGTGAAGGCTGCCAAGAATGCCAAGATAAATCAAAAGGTTTGTAGATTTTTTTTTTAATTTACATGTCAGGCAAAAGAATGCAAAATATTGTTTTTTTTTTTTATTATTGTAGTACTTTCTATTTCTGGATATCGTCAGTTTTTTTTTTTTTTTTTTTTTTGATTACGTGTCAGACAAAAGAATGCAGTTTTTTTTTTGTTGTAGTGCTTTCCATCTGGATATCGATGTTTTTTTTTTTCAGATTTCCTCAGGCAAAAGAACTCTTTGTTTCTGTTTTTATCCATACTTAAATTATTTTTCTTCCAAATCCATTTCGTATTTGGATATAAAATTTGCGTTTATATATTAAGACGTTAGATTCATATGCAGGGAATGTGTATTATGTATTCTGAATGTGCTGTTATGGAATTTTATTATAATAACTACCAGTTTAAGTTACCTGTAATTAGATCGAAAAAAGTCCAACTAGTTTCGGAATCAGTTCGTGATCCTTAGTCGTGAGCGACTGTGACGCCAGCACGAGCCTGACTGCGCGCCTAGGTTCACTGAGCACTGAGAGAATTATATGTGGAGTTAATCCATCGTAACGAATTTGTTAGGAATTAAGCACGATGGTATTCAGTAGGGAACTGCGCGTAGGTCAATCTGATGGGGTATGAGATGTATGACTCTGTGATGACTCCATCCTCACCTATCATGCCTCGCTGGTGTCCCCCCAGCGTATACCGACAACGCGAGCGGTGTTACCGTTCCTTTATTACCCCATAAAAAAAACCGGAACAAAAGTACAGCATGCAAACTGCATGGTGACAGAATGGTTGAGACGTATCGTAATTAATAAATGTAGATCTAATTTTGTAAAGTTATTAATATATTTGAATCGGTAATAAAATTATGTAAATAAAGCCTCGAGCACCGTCGGGCCGGACACGAGAACGTGTTTGAATCCGCCAACGTGTTAGTTTATTGTCTATTTGTAAGTAGCTAGTGTTGTGCCACGGAGTCGTGAATCGGTATTTACCGTTTTTACTTATTATTTCTTTTAAACAGCTTTACGGTTTTGGACGTCTACTTTTAGCTGATGATTAATTTAGGTTATTTTTATTGTAGTGAATATTCTTGTCGAAATTTTTATATATTTGTATTCATCACTTTACTAGTGATCTACCCTGGCTTTGCACAGGTAGATAGATAGATGATCTATGTATTTTTTTTATTTATTTAATATGGATCTTATTATTCGCTGTTAATGTAGTTTTCTGTGTGTGAAAGAATTCTTAAAATCGGATAAGTGTGCGTTTGAGTTTATTAAATAGGTACACATTTTTTTATACGACTTAGAATGGCAAACAAGCTGACGGCCCACCTGATGGAAAGTGGTAACCGTCGCCTATAGACATGAGCAGTACCATGGACATAACAGAGTATACTGTTTCGCCCATGATAACTCCCCAAGCGTTGCCATTCCTAAGGACTCGGGTGTTATTCCTCTGTACCCAGTAAATTCACTGCCGCATCCCACCCTTCAAACCGAAACACAGCCATGCAAACACAACTGCTTCACGGTTATTATATTATATTATATTAATTTATACGGTACAATAATCTTTTTATTCTAGCTAATCCTCCAAAAATATGTGTACACAGCATCAAGTCGTAAATAACAGTTAAACAAGTATGTAAGTACGATATAATGGTTACCGTAGCCTATGAACGCCTGCAATATCAGGGGTATTACGCGCGCGTTGCCGACCCTGAAGATACCTCTTTATCCCCTTTTTGAAGAAATCCATGCTATGGTCTCTTGGGAAAACTTCGACAGGGAATTCATGCCATAACCTGAGCATTCGTGGAAGGAAAATCTCTGAAATATACATATGTATACATGGATAATCATACATATGTATACATATATACACATATGCCACATCGTATACATTACATTTTTATATAATATCTATAAATATGATAGAATAAAAAAGGGACATTGTAATCTGAAGCAACAAACACCGGTATGCTAAGTCCGATACCCGCTAATTTTATACTCTACGTGCATATATGAATTCATTTTCCTCAATTGCTTTGCTATTGGGGAATATACACGATGTTTCTCTAACAACTAATGATTTTTTTTTTCTATTTTTTCTATCTGTGTCTGTGGCGTGAAGCAACTAGCTGTATTTGTGTGTATTTCAATATGATGATGAAATATAATTTCATCATCATCTCGAATCCTCATTATTACCCCTGGATCATCATCATCATCAGAATCATCATTACCCCTGGTTTTATTTCATTCGGGTAATTGAGATTCTATTGTATAATAATTGGACATCAGCAGATTGTCTTATGGCCGGGTCGATTGTTCATCGTCGTCATCATCATCACCATATCAGCCTTTAACTGTCCACTGCTGAACATAAGTCTCGTCCTTAGGGAGTTTTGCCAGTGGTTGCCACGCTTGGCAGACGGATCGACAACCGCAATTAGGCTTTGGAGATATTTGGATATAAAAGGGACGCTGTTGTTTATTCCTCGACTATTAAGTTTCCTTAATCGCCTCTTACGACACCCACGGGAAAGGTGGGGGTGGACAATTCTATGCCGGGACCACGCGGCATACGTACATATGAATATATATACATACTAAACTAATTCCAATAATTATAAATACGTGACAAAATTTTATACTATCTTTTTATATTTCGCCACAATATATACATTGAATATCTTTAAGTAAATATATAGTATACTAGTGATTCGACCAGACTTCGCACGAGTACACAGAGTAGACAGGGTAAAAATTTTTCGAAAATCAATATATATAATAAAAAAAAAGTTTCAGCCAATTCAACTGTTCGGTTATTTTAATTCAATTCAATTCAATCATTTATTGCTTTTCTATTTCATGCTATTTCATGTTGTAACAATTTAGGTCTTAAGTTAGAAATGAAATGAAATGAAATGAAATGAAATTTATTTGCTAGAAACATTGTAGAAAAGGAAAGAAGAAAGAAAGTTATTAAAAGTAAAGAATTTTATATGTGATTCCTTAGATTGATGTAACTTTTTTATTTATTATATGAACCGATTGAAATAAAACAAAAACTAAATGTTAGATGGAGCTAACTTTGCTGTTAGTTCCATGCATTAGCAGTAGTGGAAACAGTGAAAAAGTGGCCACGTCGAGTGTTACGCTCACCGTGACGGCAATAGGGATTTAAGATTATGTAGTTAACAGAAGGGGTTTCAGGGGGGAAGGGATTGTTAGTAAGGCGCACTACCAGTCACATTGATAGCAATATTCGTTGTCAGGTCGACCCCCACGTGGTCCCTTGTGGAAATCGTCGTGCTGAATTCCAGGTGTATTAATCACGATGGGCCAACTGACCTGCCTTTTTATTCTTACCTGCTATTGTTCACTGGTGCCTCGTCAGCGTATACCGTTAGCCCAGGCGGGGTGACCGTTCCATTGTCATCTATTAAAAAAAAATTGAAAGGGTTTTTTTTAATAAAAGCAATAGAAGTCTAAACAAATTTTTTTTTAGAATGTTCTCTATCTATCTGTTTGTCTGTATGTTTGTTCCGGTATCACGCAAAAACTAATTCTGAAGGTCTAATGTAATTATTATTAATTTTAAATTATAATTTATTTATTTTATTTCACTTCATTCTCAACTTATTTGCCGGTTTCTTATTCCCTTAAAAAATAATACAGATTTAATGGATGAAATTAATTTAATTTATGACAGAGAATTGATTGATGGCGGGGGAAGGATTGCTAGCAATATACCCTGTTAGGTTGACCTCCACATGGTCTCCCCTGGAAACCGTCTTGCTGACCTGCCTTTTTCATCCTCACCTATCCCTCACTGGTGCCCAGCCAGCGTATACTGATAGCGCAGGCGGGGTTACCATTCCGTTATCATCAATAAAAAAAAATTTGATTTATATCCCTAATTATGAAATCCACACGTGCAAAGTTGCAGGCAAACAGTTAGTCAATAGTAATTCACTAATGTAATACAATTGATATTATCCATGTGGTGACATAGTGTGAAAACAGTGCGCCTGCGCACGTTTTTATCTTTAATTATGTTGAAAGCGCGACCAAGGAAAAATAACATAATATAACATCAAGTTCAAGATTAGGAAAAAAATACAATACAAATCGTCCGGACAACGTGACAGTCTATTTATATAGATATATAAAAGTTTTGTGTCACGGTGTTTGTTGTCGCACTCCTCCGGAATGGCTCAATCGATTTTTATTAAATTTTTTATTTGTATATTTGAGAGGTATGAAAGTAGGTTGTATTTTCACCAGAGGGAGACTTTGTACAAAAGTCGTTTACTTGGGTACCTCTGTCCCATTCGTGTTTCTACCGTGAAGCAGTTGTGTGCTGTGTTTCGGTTTGAAAGGTGGGATATGGTAGTGAATTTACAGGGTACAGAGGAATAACACCTGAGTCCTCGGGAATGGCAACGCATGGGGAGTATCATGGGTGAAACAGTATACTCTGTTATGTCCATGGTACTGTTTATGTCTATAGGCGACGGTTACCACTTTCCATCAGGTGGGCCATCAGCTTGTTTGCCATTCTAAGTTGCATAAAAAAAAAAATTTCATATGTTACGACCTATTCCCTATCCAGAGAAAATAATTTATAAGTACGTTTGCCGAGTCAGTTAATTATGTAAATGTAAAAGTTATTTCGTTTGTCTGTTTGTTACTTCATAGCGGTTTTACAGCTCAACCATCGCTATGAAATTTGGTGTACTATATGGAATAGAGATAGACTTAGGCCCCTTTATGTTTCGGTCAGTAGACATGTCCCGGATACGGACAAAGTCGCGGTAAAAGCTAGTAGGCTATAACTTTTATGGGGTGTGGAATGCTAATGGATTGTTACGGAAGGAAGGAAATTTAAACCCAAAAGCTTACCCAAGGCACAAGAGAATCTCAATAAATTCTATCAACATATATATTTGCTATATTATAACAATATTTCATTACTCAATCATCTCATAGTGAC